GGTCACACCGCAGTGCCACTCTCCACCATCTCCGGGTTCTTGACATGAACTCCCCAAATCTGCCTATGCAAGTGAACCCATGAGAGAAATTAAGTCCCACCCCGAGGAAATAATACCTCGTGTTTTCAGAGCTTAAATATGCCTAATAGTTTGCTGACAACCCTGCTGGTTCCCCCTTGCTTAGGGCCGTGGAGAGGGTGAGGCCCTATAAAAGACCTAAACCAGCCCCTCAATTGGGGGTGGGGACTTCCCCAAGAGACTTCCTGTTTCTTGGTTGGGTGGGGGGAGCCCGGAGTGACTGTCTAGTCCCAGATCTCAGAAGTGGGCAGGTGAGAACTTGGGTCCAGAACCCTAGGTCTGAGGGAGGAAGGGGACGAGTGCGGGCTTCCGGCTCCTGGTTCCCTGGCAGTCTTGAGTGTTGGTCCTCATGAGATCCATGACTCCTGCCAAGGGCTGCTTTGGGAAGGATTTATTAGCACTTAAGTGGCCATGACAGATCTGGGAGGAGGGGGTGACACTAACGAGGCTGCTGTAATCAGCTCCCCTAGAGGCAGCGATTCAGGGCTCATTACCCACTGGAGCGGGAACCAACCGGGGACAGACTTGGGGAAGGACAAAATTAGGTGGGAGAGTAGGGTGTGGCAGTCTGGAGGCAAGGGTGGCACACCCCGGAGAAGGGGGGACTCCAGGGAAAGAGCTGTGAGGCGGGGATGCTGGAGCTGGGCTTATGGCAGGGCGGGGCAGAAGACAAAACCCAAAGTGCCAGTCATGGCTTCTCCAGCTGGACATCTCCAATGTGCAGACTGCCCACGTCCTGATAGGTACCCTGGAGGCCCCTGGAGATGTCCTCATACATAGAGCAGTCATCAAGATTCAGGCCCTGCGGGGGACAGAGTAGACATCTGTACCCTGGCAGCTGGGGTCCCTGTTGCCAGTCAACCCCAGAGTGGGCCCCTCGGGCCTGGCGCCTCTCTCCCTCTTCCGGGGCACCGACCCCGAGTACAGTCCCATTCAATGCTGACCTCATAAAGATTTTCATCCTCATAGTCATCTGGCATGTCCACTCCAATCTTCTCGTTCTGCCATCGCTTCTATAGGGGGGGATGAGATAGCCTCGGTGAGCAAGGAGGAGGCGAAGGAGTTTCCAGACCCTCTCATACGAGCAAGCGCTTTATCAGAAAGGAGAAGGCACACACGCAAGGCCACACACACTGGGGTCTTGGAGGATTCTGCTCTCCAAACCTCTCTTTCTTCTTGTGAGCCTCAGACTTTGAACATTTCTCCAAAGCATGCTGGGTGTGGTTGCTACCACATTCCACCAGCTTTCTCGGGGTTTCTATCTAGCGCGATTAAGTGGGCCAGGCTGGCCTTGAACTCCTCTGCCTTCTGAGTGCTGCTGGGATTAAAGGTGTAACCCATCGTGCTGGCCCTCTGCTATTCTTCAGTGATGACAAGTATAGTAAGAAGTGGTGGTGCAGCCGGGCAGTGATGATGGGTGGGTATTTGTGAGTTCGAGGTCAGCCTGGCCTACGAGAGCTAGTTCCAGGACAGGCTCCAAAGCTACACAGGGAAACACTGTCT